AAGAGATGAAGAATGTCATTTCATATTCATCATAGGAAAAATCTATCAGGATGAAGTCTCAATTCTAAACATCTGTGCCCCAAATACAAAGGAACCCACATTTGTAACAGAAACATTACTAAAACTCAAATCACATATAAAGTCTCACACTCTTACAGTGGGAGACTTCAACACCTCACTCTCACCACTGGACAGGACGACCAGACAGAAACTTAACAAAGAAAGAAAGGAACTAATAGAAGTTATGAGCCAATTGGGTTTAACAGACATCTATAGAACATTCCATCCAAACACAAAAGAATATACCTTCTTCTCAGCACCACATGTAACCTTCTCTAAAATCGACCACATACTTGGCAATAAAGCAAACCTCAACAGATACAAAAAATAAGAATAACCCCCTGTATCTTGTCAGAAAACCATGACTTAAAATTAGAATTCAACAACAACAAATTGCAGAAACCCCACAAACTCATGGAAATTAAACAATGCTCAATTGCATCACAACTGGGTAAAGGAAGAAAGAAAGAAAGAAATCAAAGACTTCCTAGAATTCAAGGAAAATGAAGACACAACATACCCAAGCCTATGGGACACTTTGAAAGCAGTTCTAAGAGGAAAGTTCATAGTGCCCACATGAAGAAACTGGAGAATAGTCACACTAGAGGATTAACAGAACACATGAAAGCTCTAGAATAAAAGGAAGCAAACTCACCCAGGAGGAGTACACACCAGGAAATAATCAAATTGGAAGCTGAAATCAATTAAATAGAAACAAAGAAAACAATACAAAGAATCAATGAAACAAAGAGTTGGTTCTATGGGAAAATCAACAAGATAGATAAAACTTTATTCAACCTAATCAAAAGGCAGACAGAGAACATGCAAATTAACAAAATCATAAGTGAAAAGGGGGACATAACAACAGACACTGGGGAAATCCAGAGAATCTTCAGGTCATACTTTGAAAACCTGTACTCTGCAAAATTGGAAAGTTTAAAGGAAATGGACAATTTTCTGGATAGATGTAACTTACCAAAATTAAATCAAGAACAGATAAAGAATTTAAATAGACCTACAACCCATAAAGAAATATAAGCAGCCATCAAAAGCTTCCCAACTGAAAAAAGTCCAGGGCCAGATGGTTTCAGTGCAGCATTCTACCAGAAATTCAAAGAAGAGCTAATACCAATACTCTTCGAAATGTTCCACACAATAGAAGCAGAAGGATCACTGCCAAACTCTTTTTACGAGGTTACAATAACCTTAGTAACCAAACCACACAAAGACACAACTAAGATAGAGAACTACAGATCAATCTACCTCAAGAACATTGATGCAAAAATACTCAATAAAATACTGGCAAATCGGATCCAAGAACACATCAGAAAAATCATCCATCATAATCAAGTAGGCTTCATCCCAGGAATTCAGGGATAGTTCAACATATGAAATCTATCAATGTAATCCATCATATAAACAATCTAAAAAAGAAAAACCACATGATCATCTCCCTAGATGCTGAAAAAGCCTTTGACAAAGTCCAACAGCCCTTCATGATAAAGGTCTTGGAGAGATATAGGATAACAGGAACCTGAAAATGATAAAGGCAATATACAGCAAACCGACAGCCAACATCAAACTAAGTGGAGAGAAACTCAAGGCTATTCCTCTAAAGTCATGAAGACAAGGTTTCCCAATCTCTCCATATCTCTTCAATATTGTCCTCAAAGTTCTAGCTAGAGCAATAAGACAACAAAAGGAGATCAAGGGGATGCATATTGGAAAGAAAGAAGTTAAACTTTCACTATTTGCTGATTATATGATAGTCTACGTAAGTAACCCAAAGAATTCTATCAGGGAACTCCTACAGCTGATAAACACCTTCAGCAAAGTGGCAGGATACAAGAACAACTCAAAAAAATTAGTATCACTACTACATATAGACAATAAAGGGGATGAGAAAGAAATCAGAGAAACATCACCCTTTACAATAGCCACAAACACCATAAGATATCTTGGGGTAACTCTAACCAAACAAGTGAAAGACCTGTATGACAAAAACTTTGAGTCTTTAAAGAAAGAAATTAAAGAAGATACTAGAAAATGGAAAGATCTCCCATGCTCTAGGATATGCAGGATCAACATAGTAAAAATGGCAATCTTACCAAAAGCAATCTACAGATTCAGTGCAATCCCTATCAAAATCCCAGCACAATTCTTCACAGACCTTGAAAGAACAATTCTCAACCTTATATGGAAAAACAAAAGACCAAGGATAGCCAAAACAATCCTGTACTATAAAGGAACATAAGGAAGCATCACCATCCCTGACTTCAAGCTCTACTATAGAGCTATAGTCCTGAAAACAGTTTGGTATTGGCACAAAAATAGACAGGTAGACCAATGAAATTGAATTGAACACCTGGATATTAACCCACACACCTATGAACACCTGGATATTTGACAAAGAAGCTAAAACTATACAATGGAAAAAAGAAAGCATCTTCAACAAATGGTGCTGGCAGAACTGGATGCTGGGGTGTAGAAGACTGCAGATAAATCCATATCTATCACCATGCACAAAACTTAAGTCCAAATGGATCAAAGACCTCAACATAAATCCAGCCACACTGAACCTCTTAGAAGAGAAAGTGGGTGGTACCCTTGAACGATTTGGTACAGGAGACTACTTCCTGAACATAACACCAGTAGCACAGACACAAAGAACGACAATTAATAAATGGGACCTCCTGAAACTGAGAAGCTTCTGTAAGGCAAAGGACACAGTCAACAAGACAAAAGGCAGCCCACAGAATGGAAACAAAATATTCACCAACCCCACAACTGACAGAGGGCTGATCTCCAAAATTTACAAAGAACTCAAGAAGCTAGTCTCCAAAACACCAAATAATCCAATTAAAAAGAGAGAATTAGAAACAGAATTCTCAATAGAGGAGTCTAAAATGGCTGAGAGACACTTAAGAAAGTGCTCAATACCCCTAGCCATCAGGGAAATGAAAATCAAAACAACTCTGAGATGCCATCTCAATCCTGTCAGAATGGCTAAAATCAAAAACACCAATGACAGCTTATGCTGGAGAGGATGTGGAGAAAGGGGAACACTCCTTCACTGTTGGTGGGAGTACCAACTCGGACAGCCACTTTGAAGATCAGTATGGAGATTCCTCAGGAAAATTGAATTCAGCCTAGCACCAGATCCAGCAATTCCACTCTTAGGCATATACCCAAAAGATGCACATACATATAATAAGGACATCTGTTCAACTATGTTCGTAGGAGCATTATTTGTAATAGCCAGAACCTGGAAGCAACCTAGATGTCCCTCAAATGAAGAGTGGATAGAGAAAATGTGGTACATTTACACAATGGAATACTACTCAGCAGAAAAAAATAATGGAATCTTGAAATTCACAGGCAAATGGATGGCACTAGAAGAAACCATCCTGAGGGAGGTAACCCAGTCACAAAAACACAAACATGGTATGTACTCACTCATATATAGATTTTAGACATGAAGCAGGGGATTGCCAGCCTATAACCCCACTGCCAGAGAGTCTGGGAAACAGGGAGGACCATAAGAGAGATATGCATGGCACCCCAGAGAAGGGGAATGGGATGGGATCTCCTGAGGGGATTGGAAACATGTGGTGAGAGGAGGGGAGAGGAAGTTTGGAGAAAGAGAGGGGAAGAAGAGGAGAGGAGAGAAGGACATGGGGGAGCAGGAAGGTTGAGTCAAGGAGCCACTATAGGTTTGAGAAGAGATCTGGCACTAGGGAGATTTTTCAAAGATCTACAAGGATGACACTAACTGGCAAACTAACCAATAGTGGTGAGACTACCTGAAATGCCCTTCTCTGATAATGAGATTAATGGCTACCTTATATGCCATCCTACAGCCTCCATCCAGGGGCTGATGGAAGCAGAGGCAGCCACCCACAGCTAAACACTGAACTGAACTCCTGGAACCAGTTGCAGAGAGGGAGGAGTGATGAGCAAAGGAGTCAAGACCTGGCTGGTGAAACCCAAAGAGGCAGCTGACCTGAACAAGGGGGGGGGTCCTTGAACCCCAGACTGGTGACTGAGAGGCCAGCGTGGGACTGATCCAAACCTCCTGAACGTAGGTGTCGGTGAGGAGGCATCGGCAATCTATGGGTCCTTGGATAGTAGACCAGTATTTAGCCTTGGCATACAAATGGACTTTGGGAGTCCAGTCCACATGGAGGGATGCCATCTCAGCCTGGACACATGGGTGAGGGCCTAGGTCCTGCCTGGGATAATATGACAGACTTTGAAGATTCCCCATGGACAGCTTCACCCTCCCTAAGGAGTGGAGGGGGCATGGTGTGGGGGTTTGGGGTGGGGGCCGGAGAGGAGGGGAGGGTGGGAGAGCTGTGATTGATATGTCAAGCAAGCTTGTTTCTAATTTAAATAAAATAAAAAATGAAAAAAGACCTTTTATCTTTGATGAAAGACTAACATGTCTTCAAGAAGAGAAATTGTGTCTTTCCTTTTAAAAATTCATTTCATGTAATTAATTCATTTATTTTTATGTATGTCTGTCTATGCATATGCTACAGCAAGTATGTGTCACTCAGAGGACAACTGGCAGGAGTTCGTTCCATCTTTCCAAGAATCAAACTCAGGTCATCAGGTTCAGTGACAGACATATTTTAACCCCTGAGCCATCTCTCCTGCCATAGAACTTAGTTTTAAGCATGACAAAGGTGAATGTTCAACTAATTTTCAATAGAATGAATGAAGGAGAAAGAAATGGAAAAATAAAGTGTGAGAAGACAGAAAAGAAGCCAGTTTGGTGGTAGTAACAAGCCAGTTATGTGATTTCAATACCAAAACGTGATTCTTCATCTTCTTCATTGAGTTTCTCTGGAATAATTCACCAGCAGGAGTCCTAAAAAGAAAAACTCATTTAACCATATCCAAGACCCAAGAACATTCTCTCCCCCCCCCCTACTTACGATTTCTTCAGACAGTTAGCTGTGGAAAGAATCAGCCATGGAGTCAGAACAATACCCTGGCAATTTCCAGGCATAGATGCCAGCCAAGGTACATCAATGTAACTGTCCACTGGTGGTAGATTTCCAATCAATGAGCTTGAACTCAAACTCTGTCTCTGCACTTGGAGCGCTGAAAAGGGGTATGATAGTTATAGGGATGGATGAAGATAACATTAAAAACATTTTCAATGCTGATGAACTTTCTGATTTTTTTAGTTAATCTACTCAAATTCAGTTATAAAGTTTCTGTTGTCTATTCATGGCCTAACTTCCTTCACAGGTGTGATTTCTTCTGTGTGAGCAGATGTGTGATATTCCCACCATCACCACAACCTAATGCTATGCCTCTTCTTCTCTGAGAATTTCAACTAAATTAAAAGAAATTTTGTACAAGGAAAGATGGGCAAAGATGTTCTATCTGATACAGTGAAATTTAAAAGGGTGAGACAGAAACTAGAGGTAGAGAGAAGAAGGTAGCAAAAAGAATGGAAGAGAATGTGTAAATGAGGGAGGAGAATGAAAAAGGGCAGCGAAGGAGGTTAAACTAGTTCAGAAAGGGATAAGAAGTGAAATAGGGATGAGATGAACAGCAGAATGGTCTTTGGACATAGAAGGGAAAGAAGAACACATAAGGATGTCCAGGTATCTATGACTTACCAGCACAGCGGTAGCAAACTAAGCACAAAACACAGTAAAGCCAAAGTAGAGCCTCCATCTTGGCTCAACTGGCAAGAGGTGTGTTGTGGGAATCTCAAGGCAACAGCAGAATTCTGAGGTTATAGAATGTCTGACATCATAATACCTACTGTGAGATTCTCTCTTCCTCTTGTAGCCTTCTTAGTACTGCTTAATATAGGAAACTGGAAGACTGGACTCTTATCTCTTAATGATCATTTAATGTTAGAAAAGGCATACGGGGGCAGGTGGCTACAGAGATGGCTCCTATGGGGCCCTGAGCTGTGGATCAGTGTCTATCCCTGGTATACAAACTGTCTTCATGTGCCTATAGCACAAAGAGAGATGCTCTCTCAGCCTGGACTCTTAGGGGAGTGCCTTGACCCTACCAAGAGTAAAATGACAGACTCTAGATATCCCCTATGTGGAAGGATTTGGCAATAGGGTGGGAGGGAGGGGGGAAGGGGAGTGCGGGAGGAGGGGAAGGAGAGGGAACTGGGATTGACATGTAAAACAAGCTATTTAAAATTAAAATAAAAAATGATAAAAAAAGAAAACTAGCTGCAGGCCAGGTGGTAGTGGTACACGCCTTTAATCCCAGCACTCAGAAGGCAGAGTTCGAGACCAGCCTGGTCTACAGAGTGAGTTCCGGGACAGGCTCCAAAGCTACAGAGAAACGTTGTCTGGAAACACCCCCGTCCCTGCAAGAAAAAGCTAAACAAAATAAAATTTTTTAAAAAGACAGGGAATTTGGCCGGGCGCCTTTAATCTCAGCACTTGGGAGGCAGAGGCAGGCGGAACTCTGTGAGTTCAAGGCCAGTATGGTCTACAGAGCGAGTGCCAGGATAGGCTCCAAAGCTACACAGAGAAACCCTGTCTCGAAAACAAAAAACAACAACAACAACAAAAAAAAAACAACAACCAAAAAAAGATAGGTAATTGGGAACAGCAACATAGTTTAAAAGCAAGCATTATATTTTTATATATTTTTCAATGCTTTATCATGTCAGAGAACACCTGGTATTTTTCCCAACCTATTGTGAGATGCTCAGGTCTCTCCTATACAAAATGAGTGATTGTGGTACCATTATACTATTGGCATCTTTATGTAGTTCAGCCTCAGCTTTTTGTTTGTTTGCTTATTTGTTTGTCTGATTGGCTGGTTACTTGGTTGGTTGCCTGGTTGGTTTTTTTTGAGACAGGGTTTCTCTGTATAGTCCTGGATGTCCTGGAATTCACTGTGTAGACCAGGCTGGCCTTGAACTCAGAGACCTGTCTGCCTTCTGCTTCTCAAGTAAGCAAGTACTTTCTAAAGATGGTCTTCATTTCTTTCTTTCAGATTTGTTGCCAGATGCTTAGGTATATGCCATCTTGGTTTCACTGTATTTAAAAAATTATGAAACAGAAATTGGTAAAGGAGAATGGGTTTATTTACAGTCTGTCCAAACCAGAGGGAGTAAGAAACCTAATTTCCTCCCCCAACATGACTATGACTGTCTTATAATTTCTATAAAATCATGGAGCAAAGTGTAGAAATATGTAAACTCAAGGGTTGGGCAGGTTACACAGTCCTTTCATCAGTGAAAGATAATACAAGTCTGTTTGTTCCAGTTTGCTATTGCAGAGACAGTTTTTTATTTGTCCTAGCTAAGAGAGATGGGGGTCTTAATGACTCTATTTTTTGAAAAAGAAAAGGGTTGGATTGTGTGGGATACATGATTCTCACTGAGTCCTGTTATGGCAGAGTTCTTTGTCCTTATGTCCATTCCTTTGATGGGTATGTAGAATGAAAGTTTTATTATCTTTTCTGTGGGGGTCAGCTTCAGGTGCTCCAACTATTTCATTCCTGTTAAGAACAATAATTTTGCAAGTTTAAAAATACTTATGACAGTCTGATAGCCAAAGAAATAGGCCTGAGTATCTTTCTTTAGAATCTTTCCTCTCCCCACTAGTGCTTCAACATAGGATCATGTTACAATATTAAGACAAATTCCTCTCCTATGTGAACCTGTGAAATCAAACAATTATGTGCTTTCGAAATGCAATTGTAGGAGAGGCATCAGGGAGACATTCTCACTCCAAGAATGAACAACAGGAGCAAGATAAGAATAGCATATCCCTGTGGAGTCTAATAGACAGCAGGACAGACAGTATTAAATCTTCAGACTTGAAAGCATCTTCTTTGATTCCATGCCTTCCTTTTGAACACATGGGAATGAAATTAGATTCCCAAACTTCCAGGAGGCTTTACTCCCACAGGTTTTCTAGGAAGAGCCTATGCCACATGTCTCACAGATTGAGAGATATGCCTGTGATTGTTTCAGCACACTGTAGCTCTAAATTTCTGATTTCTTGGAGCTGGTCCTATTTCCATGTGGTCTTTATGTGGCGGCCCTGAACCAAGGTCTCCTCTCAGATTGTCCTTATGGAAGTTCTCTGATGTATTATCCCTCATTTAGCATTCTCTACCTGACTCCTTTGAGTTTCTGAGACATTCTAAGAAATAGAGATGAAAGTAGCAATACTTCCACAGCTAATGCATCCTGTGTGCCTGCAGAGTTAAAACTATGTGGATGCTTTCAAGGTCTATGAACTATGGCCTCTGGAGTAATAGCTTAAGTTGCACTTGGGCCTGTTAAAACTACAGATAGATTAGCCAAAGAATAGGATCCAATGTGGTTAAATAGAGACATGAAGAAGCCTTGGGCAGAAAGTCAATAAACATAAAAGCATCCTGCCTCCCACCACTTTCTAGTGGTCTGGGGTTTTACTTTTAAACTATTTGTTCTCAAGCCCCAGGCCTATGAAGTGTGTGACACTTTCCTGCCCTGGCCTGCAGAGCACAATGGGTTTGAGCCCAGGGGAACCTGGAATGAATGAGACAAGAGACAAGGGGGAGATGGACAGCAAGACAACATGGCTGATCAAGCTGCCGTTTAATGAAAGTTCTGTACAGGCTTAAATAGGGGAAATGAGGTAGGGGGATGCAGGACAATAAGGGAGGGGTCGGTGCCCAGTAATCGGTTGCGGAGTGTTCTTGTTCTTGGTCACATACCCAGGAGTGTGTTTTTGGTCATGTATGAGGGGTGCTGGCAGACCAGCACTGAGGCTAAGCAGCAGGAATGAAGAGGTGTTAGTGCTAAGTAGCTTAATTGCAAGGAGGAGGGTTGAGTAACCTAACTGTAGACTGCTATCAGCTATTCCTGTGAGCCCAGGTTCTATTCCTAGGGAAGCTGGGGAGGGGACGGACTATTCTTAAAATAGACTGACAATATTTACAAGAGGTTTTAAATAACAATGATCAACGATCACTCCCAACACTTTCCATTGCCATAAAATCTTCCTTTTAATCATTCCAATCTCCTTAGAGAGAGACACAGAGAGAGAGAGAGAGAGAGAGAGAGAGAGAGAGAGAGAGAGAGAGAGAGAGAGAGAGAGAGAGAGAGAGAGAGAAGAAAACCAGATCAGTATGTTCTCCCCTAGGGCTTATGACTTCACTAGTCATGGATTTTGGCCATATTTACAATACCAGGCATGAATTCCATCCTGTGGAGAAGGCCTCAAATCTAATCAAGAGAACAGTTGGGTACCCTACCCACATAAACAGTCTTACCGCTATTGCAGCAATGAGCACACCTTCCAGGGCACACCTCATAAAGTAACCATCACTTACTAGTGTCATAGCCTGCAGGACAAACTTTGAACACATGAGCTTTTGGGGGGACATTTTGTATCTAAACTGTAGTACTCTCCACATATATAAATACATGTAGGGGGAAATTTAGTACTCCACCATTAACAATGTATCTCCTACTGCTAGGAGTCTTAGCTGGAGTTGTCCTTGTGGATTGCTGGGAGTTTCCCTTGTACTAGGTTTCTACCTCACGCTGAAATGCCCCCTTTTCCAGTCATCTCTTTCAGTACTCCCCCCATCACTCCCACTTGATGCTTCCTGTTCACAGTCCTACCCACGCCCAACCCACCCATGAAATCTATTCTATTTCCCCTTCCCAGGGAGATCCAAGTGTCTACCCTTTAGCCCTCCTTGTTACCAAGCCTCTCTGGGTCTGTGGATTGTAGCATGATTATCCTTTGCTTTACTAATATCTACATACAAGTCAGTACATACCATGTTTGTCTTTCTGGATATGTGTTACCTCACTCAGGATGATTTTTTTCTAGTGCCATCCATTTTCCTGCAAATTTCATGATGTCATTACTTTTAACAGTTGAGTAATACTCCATTGTGCAAATGTACCCCATTTTCTTAATCCATTCTTCAAATGAGAGCATCTAGGTTGTTTCCAGGTCTTGGTTATTATGAATAAACATGCTGTGAACATAGTTGAGTCCTTGTGATAAAATTGAACATCCTTTGGGCATATGCCCTGTTATGATAACTTGCTGCCAGCCTGGTCCCAGTGCTACATCAGCCTGAAGTAACACACAGAGACATTAGTTATAATGCTGTTGACCAATATCTATGGTTTCTTGTTGGCTAGCTCTGTCTTAAGTATTAACCCATAACTACTAATATATGTATCTCTACAAAGTCTTATCTTACTGAGAACACCAGACTCATGTGTCCTCTCCTCCACAGATCACATGGACGACTTCTTACTACATTTTCCAGACTCCTCCTAGTCTCCTAGTCCTCCTATCTTGCTTCCCTATTAGACAACAGTGTTTTATTCATCAACCAATAAGAGAGACATATTTACAGAATGACATCTCCCATCAATGCCCAAGAATGGTATATCTGGGTCTTGAAGTAGATCAATTCCCAATTTTCTGAGAAGCTACCATATTGATTTCCAAAGTGGCTGTACAAGTTTACACTCCCATAAGCAAAGGCAGAGTGTTTCCCTTACTCCACATCTTCACTAGCATGAGATGCCACTTGTGTTTTTTATCTTAGCCATTCTGACAGGTGTAAGATGGAATCTTGAAGTAGTTTTGATTTGCATTCTCCTGGTGGCTAAGGATGTTGAACACTTCTTTAAGTGGTTCTTGATCATTTGGGTTTCCACTGTTGGGAATTCTCTGTTTCGATCTG